ACTCTGCAATCCTATATTGCTTTGCTTTGTTCTCTTAAATAGACTCTTACCATCATGCCAATTGTTTCTGGTGCAGAACGGAGTGCAAAGAAGCTTTTCTAATGCATAGTTAAATTTGCTTCAACTCCAGCATGTGATATATGCTTTTTGGAGAACACCTACAGAGCTATATCCTCTCTGCCACACAGTATCACATTTTGTGTTCAAATTCAGCTTTGTTTACTTTTGTTTCAAGAAGGATCATAGGAAGAAAAACATCAGTGACCCAACTAATCTGGAAATTTGACAAACATGGTATTTACAGTAAATTTTGAAAGAGGCTTATATTTTCGCTGAAACAAAAAGGCCACCTAAGCTTTCCACTAAAGTCCTTGCACGGAATCACTCAATGAGACTTCCTCCCTTGAGGTCGAGGCTTCCTCAAAGTCATTTGTAGAATACAGAAATAAATTGTTTTCTACATTAGACCAAAAAACAACCCCAAAAATCAATTTGCAGTTGAGTCACGATACTCCAAGAAATCAGTTCTCCTTTCATCATTTTATCTGACATTATTCTGGGATCTCCTTTTTCAGCTCAACTATGGTAGAGAGCAGAAAGCATCAATGAAGTGGTGCAAATGTACAGCCAGTTCCAGCTACTAAGGAACAGCTTTGAAGTTAAACCCTTTAAAAGTCTTGCAAAAACTAGGCTAAGTATAATTTTAAAAAGAACATCCTCTCAGACCTCAAAAGCAGGGGTAGTTACAGCTTAGAAGCTTAAGTCACTTCACACACACTGATGGCCTGTACGTGTGTCAGAGCATGGACGTGACCTTCAGGGTTCATTCTCAATGCAGTAGGGAAGGGACTAGGTACAGAACTTCCAGTATAGTCAACAGGGTTTCAACAGCAATGTCCCTTCATACCAGTGAATTATTAAACATCTTAAATATTGTGTGTGACAATTCTTAATTTTGTATTTAGAAAGTAAAAACTGAAATAGAAATGCACTTCTTTTAGCACAACAGATGTATTTACTTACAGCATGCAAGGTTTGTTTTTATGTATTTGAGCAGCCAACAGCCACTAACAGCCCTTAAGTATTTACAGGTTCAAACTTACAATTGTCACATAAGTAGCAACTGCTTACAAAATGCTCAGGACAATCTCTGGGAAATTAGCAAGAAATGGTGTAAAAAATACTAAAAGCAGTAACAAAAAATAGTAGCAAATTAAAATATAACTACTTTTAAAATCCAGACAATTTAACACTGTTCTGGTAAAAAAAAAAAAGAAAAACACAGTAAAAAAGTGCCACATACCACATTAAGAGATGCATTTTAAAAGAAATGCATCTTTCTGGTTTTGTTTGGTTATTTTTTTTCTTTAGGAGAAAAGCTGTATATAAGTTTTAAAAAAAAAAAAACAAACAAGTAAATAAACAAAATACCACTCCCTTTGGTTTGCCAATTTACCTTAAAATAGCTTCTCCCTCTCTCCACGCCCAGTTTGCAAGCTAAGTGGTAAGGCAAATGTGATCAAAGATTGAAGAGGTCTGCAAGTGACCACACAGGAGAAAGACTTCAACCCCAGTTCATCATATAGGAAGAAACAGTAGTAGCTTTTTTTTTTTAAAAAAAAAAAATGAAAATTTTCTCAAAATAATAAATTCTTAAACTTATCCAAGATGCAACACATATTCATCCTATCGAAGGCCAGGTCAAAAAAATCCTGCTCCTGTGTTTAAGGCAATCTAAGACTAATTCAAGTCTCTTCAGCCTCTTAGAAAACAGAATTTTCTCCCAAATTACACTCTACATGACTGTTGCAGGTTTTATTTCATACAGAAATCAAATGAGACAAATGTAACTCTAAGCTTTTTGCAATAAATGAGTATTTATATCTGCTTCTATAACATAGTAGTATTTCAGTCTTTTAGACTGTACAACCTGGAAGTATGTTGACTAACAGTGACATACAAACACATTTTGTTTGGACTTGATGATCTTGGAGGTCTCTTACAACCTAAAGGATTCTAGGATTCTGTGATTTTTGCACCACTTTTTGAAAGGTTTCAATTAAATGTCTTTTCAGAAGGACAGTACAACTACCTTTTAAAGCTATGTTAAATTTAAATCATTTGGTAGCAGCTGATGCTCATATTACAAACATTTTTCATGTTTAGCTCTAGGAATAGCTTAGGGTGAAGAAAGTGCTGCAGTTTTACCTGCTGGTTTGTTATGCCTGACCTGAAGGAATCTTAGATAATTAACAAAAAACATACTATAATGCAAATATTTAAGTTGGATTTTTAAATTTTTTCATTTCTGTGATTCTTTATTATGTAACAGTATTCCTATTGCATGATATTTTGTGCTGAACTGCCCTCTTGAGCCTAGCCCCTTATAAAACATGGAAATAGAACAGTAAAACTTTTTTCATGTAAACTTCAGTGAAGTAGTTGCAGTCCTAGAGACAGGGTTGTAAAGGTGCCCTATGAACATTCTGATATATGTTACCCGGGAACTAGACTCTGCAGTACAGAGAACGTGACATTTTGGAGTTACTCGGTGTAATATACAAAAATATAAAATATGTATTTATGAGTAACAGTAGAATAAGCTACAGTGCAATTTTTTGTAGACTGTTGAAAGCCCGACCTGCTTATGATTTTTTCACCCATTCTGGACGTTCCACAGTAGATTTTATTTTTCATTAATAGTACAAGAGAGCAAGCACAGCTAGAAAAAACAGCTTGAAGAACACTCGTGCTGTAAACTTCTATTTCCTACAAGTCAATTATATATGTTAAAAAAAAAAAAATCATTTTGCTCACTTGTCTGTGCTGGAATTTAAACAGTTTTCAGTATAAAATATAAAGCTAGGATAGAGAATATGGCCTAAATTTCAGAGGAAGTTATCCTATTATTTGCACCAGTCCTCAGACTCATTTAATACAATTGGAAGGACATGACTCTCTCAGGGCTTAAAGCATAAGGCATTTTGTGTACATTCCTCTCAGCTATTTCTTTAATGACTATCTCAAGTGTGCAAAGTGGAAGTCCTTCCCTCAAAACCTTGGAAACCAATTTACTTCCCACTGCATGTTCAGCATTATACTGCAAAAGAGGAACCCACAGAAAAATCAAATCCAGAAATACACACTGAAACAAATGAACCATTTTCTACTAGGTAAGGTCTTCTCAACGAGAGAAGTTGCTTAAGATGCCATCAGTTCTGAATACATCAGTTTGAATACATTCATGGCAGTGCATTCCAAATGCACTGGAGAAATGCATCAGAAAAAAACAGCTTTTTGCATCATCTCATGCCAGCATACCGTAACTTTGACTGCTCTGAGGAAGAGGATACCAAGCTAATTTTGTTAATTTACATATTAACAGTCTGGAGATACGACCTCCAATACAAAAAGCCTTCCATGTCCAAATATTGTTTACAAAAAAAAGTAAGCTTTGTATTCTAATCACTATACTTCCCAAGGAAATTATGTTTTTCCCTGGAAAAACACATAAAACAGAAAATTAATTGATATCTGGCCAGACAATAAGACAGCTCTTGCTGCAATATGACAGTTCCTGACATGGAAAGAACAAACTAGGCAACACATTAACATAGATAAAATGAAAGAAAAAAGAGGCACATGAAATTACAGTTGAAAGGTCATATTCTACTCATCATTGGAGAAAGGGTGATGAAAAGCTGAAAAGTGCATAATAATTCAGTAAAATTTAGATACGCACAAAACGTTTGTGCACTGACCACACTGTCCTGACTGCTCACAATCTGCCTACCAGAATCATTAAAAATTTAACTTCATTATATGTCTTAGAGCTATCTAAAGTGGGTAAAAGTCATTATCGCCTTTAAATATAGTATGTTAATGCAGAAAAATACATATATTTTTTCCAGAATAAGGATTATATTTTCTAAGCAAATATCTAAAAACAATGGTCCTTCTAAGTTAGTGTGGAATAATAAGCAAGGCCCATTTCTTTACAGAACGGGATGTTTTTATTGTTTATAAGTTTAGAACATTAATTTTTAATATCTGTCCACTGTATAAACAATCTCCAGAAAAATATATCCTCTTCCAGTAACTTACAGTACACATTAAAAATACTTACAAAAGGGATTACTCTCCATTCTGTAAGGGACACAATTCTTGGTTAATTTATGCACTTTTGATCTGGCTAAACTGAATATTCTGGTTAACTCGAACCATGCCAGCAACATGGACAACCTAACATTTAAAAATATCTGCCTAATTATGTAGGATTTAAAATAAAATTAGGCATTTTTACATCACAGTATATATGGCATGTCTTAATTCAGCAACGGAAAGGCACAGTTATTAAGCCATAAAATACAGTACCTGAATTTTATCTATGCTAGTGATACCTACCAATGCCAATCCAGACATTTTACTCTATAGAGGGGCTAAAGAAAAAGGCTTCTGTTTTGTTGTTTTGGATTTTTTTTTTTTTTAGAAAAATTCAACCTCATCTCAAGTTTGGTCCTTTAGAAATGCCTATTAGCTGAAACATATTGAAGGAGGACTTCAGGAAAGAACACAGGAAAGCAAATTTAGCAGTCTATGGTTTAAAAACTTGAATAAATTACTATGAAATGGTGAGCAGTTAATGAATGGAGTTTTCTGGTTAGCTGTCAGACATACCTGGTAAAATGTCAATGTATAAAAGTACAGTATGACAGACCTTCCAGAGACATTCATTGCATCACACACACAGACTGTTACAGCAGTAAGTCCAGACATAGCATTTACAGAGTTCAGCACATCTCATGGACTGATATCTGGCTCCTGGCCCCACACCACACCCCGAGGTGTGCAGAGTTCTTTAACTGCTTTGCCTGCTACGTATTGCTGTTGAAGTGAAGACCCTGCTAAAGCCAAGCTCACTGGCCTTCCCTTAGCAAACCAGTGCACCTCTTCAGAAAGCAGCTGGCTCTCTCCTGCCCATTTGAAGTGACGCAACTGCATCAAGACAGACCAATAAAATGGAAGAGGCAAGGGACAACAAACATGAGGGAGAACCCCACCGTCCCGTACGTGATGTAGCGGTAGGGGAGCTCAACCTCCATGCGCTGCCGTGCCCTCCGGACGTCGCCGGCCGGTATGCGGAACACCTTACAGGCCAGAGGAATCGTGGCCTTCTTCATGGCCACCTTCATCAGCAGCAGGACGACGACTCCGATCAGCAGCCGCAGAATGGCTCTTCCAAAGGCGGCCACGGTGAGAGAGGAGAGGGACAAGGGCAGCGTGTCGGGAGGAGGGTCTAGCTTCAGGCCAATGACGTAGTTAACGTGAGAGCCACAGGCTACTCCAGCACCACAGCCCAGTATCTGAGCCGTGTCTCCTCGCGAGGTGCTCCACGTGTCTAGAGTAAAAGAGAAGATGCCCAGGGCTAAATGGAGACTGATGATAATTAAGGGCGCGTATTTGTAAGTTAAGTTGAAGTTATCAATCAGGTCCACAACTGGATGGAAGACAATCAAGATGAGAATAGCATACAGAAATCCAGCAATAACATCCTGTTGAAGAGATAAAGATAGGGTTTCAGCATAGTAATTCTTTTAAAAATATTTAAGTTACATCAGCATGGAGACAAACCTAGTTGCTCAGTTTCTAAAAGTGACTCATGGATTTCCATGTTTTCTCATTTACTGTACAAGATTAAATATTTTTTTATGTTAAAGACAAGGAATTGCCTTTCATCACCTATTAATAGGACACCTGCATTATGATCAGATCATGAATGAAGCTATGACCTAGTGATCCATCATCAAATGGGACTGTAGATCTACCTACCCGCTGCTTACAGTGGTCCTCGGCTGGGGCTGGGGCATTCCAGCTGACAGTCAGCACAAAGCTAGTCCAGTTAATTAATTTCTGCCAACTTAAGACACAGTTTTGAACTGTTCCAGGAAACCAAGTGCCTGGGTGCCAATACATTGGCAGCACAGCTGGTAAGGCAGTGGGGGACTGCTGCAGCTAGGCGTTGGGACAGCTTAGACTTTCCTCTCCTGCTTCAGAACCAGCAATACTGCCAGAACAGAGAACTCTTGCCAACTATTAAAGGAGAGCAAGAGGGAACTTCTGTGGCTATTCACTCCCACTACTGGAATGCTTGATAAAACCTCTAACAATTGACTGCTATGAAAGTCAGACTTGCACATGTCAGAAGGAACTTTCTGCCTTATTTTCCACCCCTATGCCCCCCACCTCGGGCACCATGGTTAATTTATGTTGCAGGCAACACATCATTAAATGTATTCACTCACACTGTCAAGGCCTCAGATGTGAAGCTGCTGAATAACCTCGTCTACAGAATGCATCACGATTTGTTGCATGACTTTGTTCTAAGATGTTGTGTGTCAGATGACACTGTCAGCTGAGATACCAGTTCATCCCATCATCCTCCACACCAGTGGTTCTGACTTGGGATGACTCCTAATCACTAATGCAAATATGTCATTCAGTTTTTCTGAGCTGCCTTATTTTCACATGTTCCTTTTACATGGTGTTCATCTACCAGCTCTACTACTTGCTACCAGGCTTACTGTTTTCTATCTGTTAGCTTCTCTCCTCCTAGCAAGTGATCCTCAAAAACCTCTTTAGTCATCCATCCTCATTAGTGGTCCTACATTCTAATTAATATTTTGTAGTGTTCCCGTTTTCCCATTTTTATATTGCATGCTTGAAACATGGAATCATAGATTCGTTTAGATTTGTGTTTCACTTTGAAAAACAGACCTATTAAAAAGGATTTAAAATAATCAAAGATGACAATTTTGTTATCTGGTTCTTCAGAAACGTTGGTAAGTGAAACCCTAGCACTTACCATGGCACTCTGAAATGGACGTGCCCCAGCAGCTAACATGGAACCAGAGTGGACATTAACAGCCACTCTCCCATCCTTCAAAATTACTCCTACTCTGTACAGAAAAACTTACAGTCTATGCTTTCCTGCAGCCATCCACTTCTGCACTAAAACGTCAGCCAAGTTTCAACTGTGGGTTGAGTTCATGAAAGAAAAGTATAAATTATCAGAGGTTGGACATCCACTTTTTGTAAAGATTGTATCAATTTCTCTGCTGAAGAAATATGAAGTATTCTGTTCCTATACAGTAGGACATTCTAAAAAAAACCCCTATATATAATTACTGCATTGCAAACACTCATGAAATCAGAACAACGTGAAAATGAAAGTTTAGAAGGATTATTTTCTTACCAAAATTGAATGCATTCCCATATAAATTCGACTACAACACACCAAAGCACACCAGCAGAATGCAAGGATCAGTCCAAACATAAGGGGATACTGGCAGGGGGAAAAAAAAAAAAAAATTGAGAGATTTTAGAATTTATTTTTTTCAGAATTTGGAGAAGAAAAAAAAAGCAAACCACCTCCATAAGTATTCTAGAATTAATTCAAATTAATGCAACTTATGCTCACCCTTTTCCTTTCGTTAGCCTCCCAATGTTTCTTAGACCACCTCAACTAAGTCCATTTTCATAAAGACAAAACATTATTAAATCAAACTTTTTCCCTTTTCTCTGCATTCAGGACATCTGAATTTCAGGGTGTTGGTCTTTTCAGAGAGAGCAGTAACAAGTTAGCAGATCTTTGTAGCTGTTAGTCTTGCTGTGTTATGATATCCTAAACTGGTAATACAGGCAGAGGTGAGCCTTGTTATGAACTGTGCAACAGTTTTACAGTGAGTGAAGCACCTACATAACATACTAGTATTGTTACCAATTAATCCAGGCAGAATCTAATAGCTTCATCTTTTCCCTGAAAAATAACTTGTCATAATTTACAAATAAATTCAATTGCTAAAATTAATTTCCTCTTATAATCCATGTTTATTAAGCAAAAAAAAAAAATCAAATAATTCTTTCAAGTTATTTCCATCTTCTGACAGAAGATTTTTTTAAATTATTAATAAGGACTGATTACCAGGAACAAACAAAATACTTTATTTTAACCAGCACATATCAGCATGTGTAAAAACTTTGTATTTTAACTTGCTTTGGCTTTGGACACAAGTATGCTAATTCACATCTTACAGCACATTTCCCCACTACCATGTTGCAAAATGTTGTGCAAGATGGGCTGCAGCTTCCTATTTTCAGTATCAACAATAATTATTAGTTCTATAAAGGAAGCAGTCACAAGACAAAAATGGCGTGTTTCCAAAATTGCTTCACTTCCTACATGAAAGAAATGATAAATGTTGTCAATATGAACAAGCAGGCTGGATGCACTCAACTGTTGAAATAAAAACTAAGAATTCCAGTTTTCCTGCCCTTTTCCGTGCTCCTTCTATGGATAACCAGAAGGGCAGAATATCCAGCAAATTAGAGATGGTATTTCCAATCCTATTGAAGGAAGTTGCACATCCTCTGTGAAGGCCTCTTAACAGATAGACTAGCTTCTAAATCAGTCTTTCAGCGAAGTTTGGGAGAAGATTATCAGTCTTCTGCATTATTCCAGCAGCCTTTGAATTATCAGCTCCAGGACCATGTCAGCAGGAGAAACCTAAAAAAAGTTTTCTGTTTTCTCAGAATAACATAAAATTGGGAAGCTTGTTCAGCATAAACAGATTTCACATTAAAATAAGTTCTACATGCCGAGCTCAGTTTTGTTATATCTAGTTAAAACTCCAATTCCAGCAGCAACATTTGTCTTTGTTTCTACTACGTTCATCTACAAATTGTACCTACACAAAACTACGTAGTGACTCCTTTCTAACTGAAAAGTTGAAGGAACAAACGCTGTTTCCTGCCTTAAAGAGTTACACCAACCACGGGCATTACACCAGCACCTAGGCTGCACCCACGACACAATTGCAGGGTTACCAGATGCTGACCTTACAGAAGGCACAGAAATGGCTCTAATCCTTGTGCCCTGTGCAGCACCACCAGAAATCCCCACAAGTGTAGCTCCATCCCTCATCCACATTATGCCTCTACCATCATTTCACAGATCCCAGGGCAGAAGTTGTGCTGCCTGCTCCAGGACGACCCTCAAGCCACACAACCTCCTTGCCTCTTGCTGCTGCCATCCTCTGTAGGGGAGAGGAGAGCCCAAGCTGCATATGCAGGGATAGGCACACTCCCTGTTTCCTCTGAAGTAAAGAGGAGCTTCGAGCACCTCTTCACATGCTCCACAAGATGAAAGCCTGGGTACACATACTTCTGGTTTGACAGAGACCAGCAGAGGAAGATTTACTACCTCCAAAAGTGATGCAAACCTCTCGACCACAGAATTTAATAGCATCACAACTGCTTGGTGGTAGAATGAGCTTACATGTATACATCCACATGGCAAAGCTCCAAACAGTGCTGCCCATCACTTGACACAGTACATCCATTCTTGTTTCCCAGCACACATCTTTTGTGCCTTCAGGCTCCAGTCAGGGTAAGGCTTTTCTTTAATAAACCAGACCTGTCTTGCATTTCTGAAACACCTACAGAAACAGAAGCTGGAGCTTTAGCAGGAAGACCTATGCCAAGGTCAGCAGGCTGCAGCAGCTAATGACACTGCAGGTAAGAAGTTGGGATTGATAGGGGTGATGATAGTGCAGTTAAACAGCAAGATCCCAACAACAGTATGGAGGAAAAGGTATACATGAGGAACCATGTTTCAGGAATCCTGAGCAGATGATTGTAAACAGGAGGGAGAGTAGGATAAAGTTCTGGAAATGAAAATTAATGCTTGCTCTTAGCTAGGAACTCTCAAGGACAGAGCATGTGGGGAAGAAAAACTGTCACAAACTTTGAAGTTTGAAGATGATTTTGAAGATTATAAAATGGTTTGGGTTGGAAGGGATCTTAAATATCATCTAGTTCCAACCTCTGTACCTTAAGCAGGAATACCTCCCACTAGACCAGGTTGCTCAAAGCCCCATCCAACCTGTCCTTGAATGCCTCTAGTAATGGAGCATCCACAACTTCCCTGGGCAACCTGTCCAAATGTCTCACCATCCTCATACTGAAGAATTTCTTCCTAATCTCTAAACAAAATCTACCCTCTTCCAGTTTGAGCACATTATCCCTTTTCCTGTCACTACAAGCCCTTGTAAAAAGTCCCTCCCCAGCTTTCTTGTAGGCCCCCTTCAGATTCCGGAAGGCCACAGCAAGGTCTCCCCTGAGTCTTCTCCAGGCTGAACAACTCCAGCTCTTTGAGCCTGTCCTCATAGGAGAGGTGTTCCCTCTCTCTGATTATCTTTGTGGCCCTCATGCCTCACTCTAATTCTGTTTTTAAATAGTACTGAGAATAGATACCCGTTAAAAAATCTGAAAACACTGGTCAGCTCAGTTTCTCTGTAGCAAAACATCCGTATTCAAGAACTCAAACACTTCCCTATTGTCTACCAGTAACAAGTCAATTACACATTTAACCCTGACTCACATCACTAACTAAGTGCCTTAAGTTAAACTCAAACAAATTATTTTTACCCATAGAGCTTTGGCATGAACTGTCCACAAGTGTGTCTGCAGAATTAGGCACATGCTGATCTGTGGTATTTTTAACACCTGTTAAGCCCAGTTTCTTTCCACTTACTCACTACAGTGAACCTAACTGCACTGTATCCAGTCCATTATAAAAAAGCAGAAGGATCAAACAAATATTCTGATTTCCTCTGGAATAACATTTCACAACAGAACAGTCACATCAACTTTTGTGATTAGCTCCCACACTAAGCATTCTCCTCTGCACTCCCACCTTTATGAAACCAACACACCTCAACAAGTAAGTTTAAACACATTTGTAAATTTGTAACTGCAAACGTAAAGTCATCTTTATGTCTAAGGCATAGGAATAAAATTTGACCTAAAGGTTTGAACCTTCATCTGCCCTGTTATGGTATGTTACACCACATACACACCTTCCTGCACTGCCCACATATCCAATCTGATTTTCTTCCCACAGCCCCAGCACCCACCAGCAGAGCATCACTAAGCTGTACGTACCCTTTGGGGCTCCACAGTTCACTGGCCTCCTTAGACACTAGCAGAAATCCTTACTTCAACACAAACAAAGAACAGTACTCCTTGGCCTGCCTACTCCTTGGCCTCTTCTCACTCAGCTTTTAAAAGCAGCCACTGCACTGAAGAATTCCTAGACTGAACCAGCACCACCTGCTTAAAATCTTCCTTGAGGTGATAAGGCAACTGTGTATTTTGTTCTCACACGTCAGGTAAGTGTACAAGGTGACTGAAGGCGAATATTAACACTCCCACACACCGTGTAGCTCAGCAAGAAGACTGCTCAGCAAGAAGACTGCTCAGCAGCATGCCAAGCCATCACACCTACAGAGGATATCACCTTCTTTCTTACAAAAAAAAAGTTGATGCCATAAATTTACTTACAAATTGTCAGAAAATATAGGACCAATACTGAGGTCCTAGCAAGCATTTTCTAAATGTTGTTTCATCTAGAAAATGACTGCCTGTATTTTGCGTCTATACATCAGGTATACCATGGCTCTAAGCATCCATAACCTCCCACTGCCTAGACATATAAAATCCTCCCAAATGCCAAAAATACTTCTATGAATATAGTGCCTTAAGACTATTAATACTTTTTATCAGCCTTGCTTTACAATAGTGGATTTCAAAAAGCTTCTTTCCCAATTGCAAATGAATCTTCAAAGAAAAATCAAACACCTCACAAAAACCAGCTTTTACTATGCTTTCTACTTAAAGTAGGCACATTTCCTGAAAACTTAATGTGAACACTTTAATATAAACTAATCTCATGGAAGAAAGCCATAAGCACTCAATTTTTGAGGTTTGCTTGAGCCTCTTATTTTGGAAAACACTGTATTCATAAATTTGAAAATTTAAGTTATTACCTGGAAGTTGCAAATTTTTAGATGTTTTCTACATAGTTGTACATAAACACACTGACAGCCTCTATTTAAATGAAAGACATTAAAGCAAGACTGCTGAATTCCAGCAGTTTTAGTCCCACAGCTCCTTGCACTCCAAATCAGACCTACAGAGGCACAAAGGACAAAAGACCACAAGTTTAATTCCACCCTTCTCCCCAGTTCATTGCTGTTCTTACTCATCTAGGCATCAGAAGGCAGACTGGCATCCAATCTCCTTTCATATGAGGGTCTGAAAGGTTGTCAGAGGTCACCCCTGGTTTCACTCTCTCAGCTTCTTCTTTCTGGTAACAGAATTGATTCCTCTTCAGTCTTGACCATACTTAGAGTCACTTTGACTCAGATACTCAGGAACAACTGATTTTAGATGCAAAAATCTCAAACCCTGATTCCATGTCCTCAAATAAGACCATCCTATGTA